ATAATAATGCATAAGAATAAAAAAAAACCTAAACGCGGAAAATTAAAAAAGAAGAAGAAGAAACAAATCCTTTAAATTTAGTTCAGTGGTTGCCATAGTTTCAGATTCGAGGCGACGTAGAAATGATAAAATGACAGTGCCTACCTATAGTTTTACTTCAAAACAAACAGCTTTACCTATTCTAATCATTCTCAGCATTGTAAGAAGCGTAAGCAATGTTTTAATATAATAATAATAAATTATTTGTTTTTTAATAACAGGTTATAAGACCTCTTACGCTTGCTTTCCAATTTTCATTACTTGGTAGGAAGTAAACGTCCCAATGGTGACAGGAATTGTTTGTAAAGTAAAATAGTTACGTGTAACTATGGAAGAAATTTCAATTAACAATTCTTCAGCATGATTTAACGGCCTTTTTGTTTTTGACACTAATTTTTAGGCTACTGCATGTCATAAAGAATTCTACTTTTTATCTTATACATAACCGTTTTATAACAAGTTAACTATCCATAAAACTAGCAAAAACAACATCTTCCTTAATTACACTTCACAATAAATCTTCCAACCCGAACTGAAACAACTATCAACACTTAGAACCTTGAGTTTTATATTCTAATCTATGGTAAGCTAGAACGATACTGATTTGTTTTTACTAGCGACGAATCAGAGGTACCTTATAAAGCATTCTTCTCAGGCTAATTTGGAATTTAGTTCAGTAAGAAAGATCTTGACCTAATTAGCTGCGTGATCAATGTGTTTATAGCTGCCCAATTAAACTAACTGCAGTTTACATAACAAATGTTCTTTGGAGTTTTCAAGCCCTGTGGGCGATAGTCATTGAATATAAACAAGTTAAAATAGGTTTCGCTTTCATTCGCACATTACAGTTGACGCAACTCACTGATTGAACTTTTGTGATGTGTGGCAATAACAGAATATATCTTATTAGTAAAGGTCCTTAACTGATCTTAAAAACACAGTTGTACAGCTAGGTAATAACGGAACTAAATCTAATTGTGTGTTTTTATTTATTCTGTCTTAAGCACAATACATCTGTGATAATTCCGTCTTGCAATTTACAAAATCAAGTGTTTCGGATTTAGAATATAATTATTTAATTTTATTAATCTTTCTATTATGTTTCAATTTTATTTAATCCAACACTTCTTTCCATAAAGTTATAATGCAGTTAAATGTATCTCTGAGTTATTCTAACAACACATAGCCTTTTCTCTTACGAACGTAAAGAGAACAGACACCACTTGGCCAGTTGTGGGCCCTTGTATTGGTGTAGGTTCATTACGACCACATTCATTATGACGTACATCCTGTACTGCTACAAGAATGAGGTTTCCTGTAGCATGTAATTAATGTGTAACAAGCATGCTAGCTGGTACTTACATACGTATACCTGTCACTGGTCCGTATTAACAAGGGGCTATCTCTCCATTAAATCCGAGCTCTTCACTTCCATCATATTACTTTAATGTAATAGACAGCAAGCTGATAAAATGCTACATATCTGTACTGTTTATGTAATCTCAGTGACAATAAACTCGACATCAACAGGGGAGAAGGAAGAAGGGACGAATCATATTAGGTTTACTTTCAAACTAGATGTATATAGTTGTTAAGGTTCAGCCAAATCTAATGGATGAGGATTTTCCTTTCGAAGTAAAGAAAGTTTTCATGAGTTAAAAATGCAGCACGCTAAAAACTTACAGAATAAATAATATTAATAAAACAACAATGATTGTGAGATACCAATGAAGTGTCTATTTTTTGGACTCCACATGTTTCATATCTACTGTTGATTACTACACCCCCGTAGCAAGTGAAGTCTCCTCGAAAACCTTCTTCACCCGTAAAAGGCTTAACACAATAATTACTCGTTTTGGTTCGAAAACTCTAACTTCTAACTTCCGGATATTTAGAAGAAGAAAGTCTTACTTCCTGATATTTAGGAGAAAAAAAGGAAGTCTTACTTTCAGATACTTAGGAGAAGAAAGGAAGTCTTACTTCTTGGTATCTAATATAAGGAAAAATACTTTTTCTCGATAACTTATGTCTGTTTTATCGTGTCTTCAAAGTTTTAAATATAAATTAAATATCGTTGCTCAAAACAAACACAAAAAAAGACGAAAGTCTTATGCTTACATTAAAATTTCACTCACATTTTTCATAACTATCTACAAGAGTATTTAATACAAGGTTCTCAACATTTTTAGAAATTTTGATAAAAATACAATTTCAAACAATTGTTAATTAAATCAATAGCTTATACAAACTGTAAATAAATATTGAACCCGACTCTGTTATAAGCATGTTTAATAAACAGTAGTACCTAACGGTGATTAAACGAAACGATGTACCTGACTTTATTATAAATACATTTAATTAACAATAATACCTTATGGTGACTAAACGAAACTTTGTACCTGATTCTATTATAAGCATGTTTAATAAACAGTAGTACCTAACGGTGATTAAACGATGCTTATAATAGAATCAGGTACAAAGTTTCGTTTAGTCACCATAAGGTGTTATTGTTAATTAAATGTATTTATAATAAAGTCAGGTACATCGTTTTATTTAATAAACAGTAGCACCTTATAGTAATTAAATAAAACGTTGTACTTAAGTCTATCTTAAGCGTATTTTGTACTATTACCATATAATTTATTGCACAATTCACTGGAAATAAAAATAAATATTTAAAGTGATTGTATTATAAGTTATTTGATACGTACTACTAGAATTTAATGTTGAAGAAACACTTATGATATGCCTGGAATTTTTAGGTAATGTTGACGTATTGCTGAATTTGCAAAAAGAACGTCTTTGATTTGCGTATACAGTCTTCAAACATTTATAAAAATCCTATAACTATGTAAAAACCTAGTGAAGACTGGTGTTGGTATTTACAAATACAATACCATTATAGTTTTAATAATAATATTTAGTTATTTATATATATATATATAAAGACGAGATTGTGTGTTTGTATGCACTCTAACTCCTCCGAGTCTATTAGGCCAATCTCAACCAAACTTTGTATGTAAACACTATGAATTATGGGGAATGTCCTAAGGGGATCATAATTGAACTTACCCCTATTTCTATTTAATGTTGGTTAATTACTCCCAGCCTACTGAGTCAAACAATCTTGACGCTTTAGACTGTTGAATATTCTAAAGAGATTCAAGGGCAAATTATTAAAGTTGCTGGATTGTTTCTCAATTAAAAATGATTAAAAATGTAAAATGCTTAAGTTTCAAACCTATATTGACGTGTATAAGTAGCCTCAATTTCTTTCTGACTTGCGATGTTTTTCTTTTATTCTTTTCATATATTAATAAATCTGCCTATCTGTACGATATATTTATCAGCATAAAAATCATACACACACATATTTCAGCTTTGCCGTTTAAATTTTAATTATGATGCTCTAGCAAACTTTGTTGTAGTTTCTATCTTTGTCAACGACTGTATTCTATATCCAAAGTAGGAAATATATTTCATCATGTTAGATATCAATCAAGTTATGGCATGTACATTTTACGCTTCAAAGTTTGAAACTTCAAGTTGCATGAGTAAACCACAAAAGTAAGGTAGAATAACTCGTCAGTTGATATTATACAACAACACCTTGCATCAGAAATTCTGTCTGAAACGTCATGTTTTCAAGCATGTTTGATGTTTCTTAATTAGCCATGCTGCTAATGGTTCTACTTATTACCGGATGACATCACGAAGAAGATATCAAGGTTCGGTGAAAAGAGACGAAGATAAATGTACATGTTGAATGCTAGACTGAGAACAAAGACGTTCTGAAAGTTTCAAATATTTTTACAAAGGGATTGAAAGTTATTTTGTAATTGAACCTTGAATCACACATACACAAACATCTTAGACGCACACACATACATACACCACACCGTGTATGAAACTGGACAAACTTTCAAAACTCTAAAGAATATAACACATGTGCCTAATATATTCAAATCAGTAAAACTATGCTTTGAAAACAATATATTACATTTCCGATATATTAATATATATTTATATAATATATTACATTTCTGATATATATTGATATATATATATAATATTACATTTCTGACATATTGATATATATAATATATTACATTTCTGATATATAGGTATATATATATAATATGTTACATGTCTGCACAGATGTTAGATTTTGTTGTCGTCAAAAGCGCTTTTGATAGAAAATTTTCAGTTGTTGCTTATTCAGTAAAGTTTGTTTTGTTTTGTTATTAAGCATAAAGCTACACAAAGGGCTATCTGTGCACTGCCCACCACGAGTATCGAAACCCGGTTTCTAGCGGTATAAGTCCGCAGACATACCGCTGTGCCACTGGGGAGCTCAGTAAAGTTAAACAAACTTAACATATGAACGTCTAAAGGCATTTCAACGAGGTAAATTAGTTGTTCGAAACCACATTTGAGTATGGAAGCATATTAGCAAAGAATTGACAAAAAAACTATTTACAAGCATAATTAAATGGTTTACCTTTGGGTGAACGCTCTACATGTTTCTGCAGAACATTGGTCTTTTTTCTAAATATTTTATTAATATTAAAAAACCATGTAAATAGACAGACCAAATGATAGCAATATATAAGTTAGCGTCTAATTTTCCCTCACTTGTAAAACGCTACACATAAAATTTATACATTAAGAAAACTGTATCATTATTGTATTGCTATTGTTTCGGTTCAAGTAACTGATATACTAACTAGTTGTACATAAAGAGTTAATACTTAAATAAGATGCAGTTTCGTTCAAATAATGCACAATAGTTGTTTTATTAGTGTAAATTTAAACAACCACTAAGTACGTAACACACTTTGAGTATAATGACCTGTGTTCGTGGTGTATGCTCAAGTTAGTATATAACTGAAACAAATAGAAAAAAAAAGAAACATTTGATTAAATAACGGACTGAATTAACAAAGGCTCTCAAGATTTACCTGATCTCTTCTCGCTGGAGATGGCTATCCTCCAGAACGTGAATAAAAGCCCGGCAGGCTAAACACTAACAGCGCGCTTGTCAGAGGAAACACTGATGTGCCAGGTGGTTCACTGGAATAATTGATTCAGCGTCGTTGTGGTTTGTGGTGTTCCATATACGCAAGTACTTAGTAGTTTTATTTCAGCCAGCCTGGTTGTAAATTCTAACAAGAAACATTGTTGGAGCAAGATCTCAATTTGCATAAACCAGTACATCTTGCTGTGTTACCATTGTCTTTTTTGTATCACTGTACTAATTGTTAGCTCAAACGAAACACAACAAATAGTACACCAAAAACAGTAATGTTTCAGTGTGGCAATCTAGGATCTCTCCCAATCTTTCAGTCAACTAATGACAATTCTTTTCCTAGAAAGTGTGTTCTAAACATCTGTGTTCATCCTCTCTGACTCCAAAACTGATGTCAAAATTATACACCAAAAATACAAGTTTAAATGTTAAGGATTTTAAGGTTCGGTGTCGCAAAAAGACGTATCCAACCAGAGTCTGTCAATACTGACAGCAAGTGAGGGCGAAATTGGTGTGTAGCTCGAGCTTGTGGTCTCACGCTTGTTACGCTTGTACTGCGCATGTCAATATAATATTGTCACGCAAGTCACGTAACGGGCTTTGAGCTGAAATTGACAGATGTCTCATGATTTTTGAGAAATAAGAACTTAATATTTTTAGTGAGGATATATTAGTAAGAAAAACTCCGTTGCTTTAACTTAACAAGACAAAGAGACAAAGTTCAATTTGTTTCAGATATAAAAAGAGATTATTTGCAAAACTTTAAATTTCGCTTGGAGGTGATAAATCTCTCCGCTTTTTCTTGACATGAACCTTATAACTAAACAATATACGACAATTATTCGATATCCTAACTCACTAAGCCTATTATAATAACGAAACGTTATATAAAACAAGAAATATGTACTAATTCCTTTGATTCAGTATTATCCTAGATCCACAATAATCTTAAACATTATCTGTTAAAC